ATGTAACCAGCAAACGGAAAAGCTGTCCCATCCGCACAACAAAATCACAAGATGGCACATGGACGATGCCTGAAAATGCACGGCAAACGAAGGATGCTTTGTATTCCGTAGTCGGCGATCAAAGCACCACACAATATACGATCCACATATCGGACCTAAGTAGTGGAGGATCTTCCTCCTGGGTATCAGATGAGGCCATCTCTTTACGATGAGATACCCAGGATGTCTAAACAGCTTCATCAAGGTGATATCGGGACATCAAACTCAACAATAGCACGGAGGCCATAGGACCTCCACACTCAAATATAAAGCATTATAAAGCGCTCTGGCATCTGCTCTGCTTGATGCCGCGCAGCTGCAGACATCTTCTTGACACCAGCCGCAGACTTCTCCATGGTGAAGTGTGCGAGCCTGTCCTCCAAACCTAAGTCAGCCGTTGCGGTGAAGTGTGCGAGCATGTCCTCCAAACTTATGTTCAACATGGCCACCTTGAAGCGTGTGTCCTTCGTGCCCATCAACGCCTCCAGAAGTGCATGAGCTGCCAAGTTGACTTGTGGTGATCCAGATGCCCTCGCCTGACGAGCCTCTGCTCTGCTTCATGCCGCGTGGCTGGAAAGCCGGCATCTTCTTGAAGTCAGCCTTTGCGGTGACGTATGGCAGCATGTCCTCCGAACCTACGTTCATTATGGCCAACCTGCACATCGGGTGAAGTCATGAGCTGCCAGGTTGCCGTTTGGTGATCCAGATTCCTTCGCCTGACGAGCCTCTGCTCTGCTTGATGCCGTGCGGCTGGAAAGCCAGCGACTTCTTGAAACCAGTCGCAAAAACTCCTCTATGGTGAACTGCGCGAGCGTGTCAGCGTGTCCTCCAAACCTATGTTCAATACAGCGTTCAGCGTTCAATAGGGCCACCCTGCACAGCTTGTCCTTCGAGCCCATAAATGCCATCACATCGAGTGAAGTGCATGAGCTGCCAGGTTGCCTTGTGGTGATGCCCTCGCATAACGAGCCTCTGTTCTGCTTGGATGCCGCGCAGCTGAAGGGCCAGCGACTTCTTGAAGCCAGTCGCAAACTCATTTGCCGTGTAGTGCGAGAGCATGTCCTCCGAACCAATGCTCAACATGGCCACCTTAAACAGTGTGTCTTTTGCGCCCATGATCGCCATCATGTCGGGCGAGGGCAAAACCTGAATGCCCAGCTTTTGCCTGGCACACTTGTCGTTTATGCACTGCTTGCCCGTAGCCGGCAGACGCACCCGTGGCGGGTGCTGGGGCCTACAATATTCCTGCCCTGCACGGGTGCTTTGGGCCTTGGTTGGTTTATATTGGTTATGGCAGTTTTGGCAAGGGGGGTACCATTGAGGCTGCCTTTTTGAATTAAAGGATCCTTATGAAGCTAGGGCTATTTTTGGGCCTTGCTATAGCCCACATTGGCCTGCGAGGGGAGCCGATGGCTTTTGGCTCCCCATAAAATCTGTCCTGGGTTTTTCAAGCCCCTACAAACAAGTGGCTGGGTTAAGAGGGATGAACTCAGGGACCGCAAACATGGAGTGTACGTGGTAGGACCCTATGACGGGGAGGCGTCATGGAAAATCTTCTAGGTTAGGTATCTCAGTGGGCCCTGTTTCCTTTTTGGCGGTCTGACGTTCCTTGTCAAACTACCCCAAACCAAACAAGGTGCCACTTTTATTTCTAAAATACTGGGGGTCCTGGTATTAATAACGGACCCCTGAGAAAAGGCCCTGTCTATTTCCCTTAAACCAACAGCCTTGTTCACAACCCTTCGCTTCCCGGAGGCTCCTTGGTTGCTGAGAAGGCTAACGAACTCCGGAAAAGTCCGTTCCGACTCTCAGCATTTGAAGGCGCAGAAGACTTAGTAAGTTTGTTGTATGTCTATAACTTGCAAGTAAGGTTGTACTGAGAGATACCCCATTGACTGACGGAAATTGTAGAAAGGCAGCCAAAAACGAAGTTATTAAGTTCCTTGAAACCTTGAGCCCTCAAAGATAGTTTTCACCAGGTCGTACGGAAGCTTCCATCCGCGGTATGTGCAATGACCATCTTAGTAGCTGAGTAGGTAACTTTAAACTTTTTGGGGTTTAAGCAAAGCTACCATAATTGAAAAGGTTAACCTTTTTTGGGGCTAGGACACTCAGCCCCTAGGCCATAGCCGTGAAAAGAAAATTGGGTTCGGTAAGGTCCAGATCGGATGAAGGGATGACAGTGACAGAGACTTCGTTTGACGTCTCGCCGGGCTGCACAACATGAATCCTAGAAGCCCTATACTCTGCACAGTTTAGGGCTTAAGGTTTAGAGTTTAGGATGTAACGGTTGTCTGGGACGAGGCTTCGGATTTAAGCACGCGTCGTGAACGAAGATTCCTTGTCGTTGCTGCCGGGGTACGCCTTCCGCTGAGAGCCTGAGGCGGCGCTTTTCAGACATAAAAGCACTGGTGATTCACGAATGTAGCAGCCACAATATTTCCCCAGACCATCCTTGGAAAGCTTTAATACAAACATATCTTCGAACTGTGGCAAAGCTCGAGATCCCAGCTGCCGAATCTGTCAGAATATCAGGGTTTGAAATCCTTGATCCCAATCCAGGTAACCCTGCTAAAAATGATGTGTTTCTTGCTCTGGCTCATTGAAAACGTAGGTTCTGAAGAATGGAACCAGCACCGATCTTGCCAAAGCAGATCTTGAGTGGAAACGTTAAACCCAATCGCAGCGCTTGACACCCAGCTTTTCCTACGTAGTAGTAGCCAGACCCCTTTAAAATGGACCCTTCTTAACCCTACTTATGGCTCTCAGAAAATGGGACTTTATTCAGAGGGTCTATATCCCCAAGGGTTCCCCCTAATCCCATGTCCCAGCTTTTAAAGAACGACATCCAACCTCTCTCCAACACACCGCCTTTGACCCAAGTCCGAAACCCAAAACCTCAAAACCTGGGCCCTAAACCCGAAGCCCTGAAACCCTACACCCTAAATCGATGAATCAGACCCTAAACCCAGAACCCTGAAATCTAAACCCTAAACCCTTAAACCCTAAATCGATGAATCAGACCCCAAACCCCAAACCCTTAAACCCTAAATCGATGAATCAGACCCCAAACCCTAAACTCTAAACCCCCCAAAAAACCCTCTTCTGCCCCACGCCGGCCAGCTTCGAAACGCCATGCTTCAAAGCCCTCGACCCATGAAGCCTAAACCCTGAGCCCCAGAGGCCAGAACCCGCGCAGAAGCCTTGAACAAGCCGTATAAGACTTAGAAAGAATACTTCTAGGGTTTAGGGTTGAGGGTTTAGGGCTATACAAGCTTTGCCCCAAACCCTAAACCCCAAGCCCTAAACCCTACACCCAGACCCTGCAGCCCGAGGCTTTCAAGACTTAACTCGAAGCCCTCAGCCCTTTAGGGTTTAGGATTTAGAACTATGAGCAATGAACACAAACGTAATGCTAGCAATCATCGTAACAACTTTGACAGCAGACTGTCTCACGATAGTAACAGGAACAGTCAGAGGCATCATAATGTCAGCCAATAGCAGCTGCAGCTAGCAACAACCCCTAACCCCTAAACCCCTAA